CCACAATATCGCATTGTTAAATAGATTTGGTATTCCAGTTAGGTACTAAATTTCCTTTAATACATATTAATACTTGGAAAAATCTATACTGTTTATTTAACTATTTTATTTAGTTAAAGAACACAATTTTAAACTCTTTTCTAGCTTTTTTGGTTACCCAAGACTGACGCAGAAAGGAACCTTTGAAGCACATAAAGGCTAAGGGATTTAACTCCTGTTTACATTTTTCCTCAAAAAATTATTAAAACCATGCTCGACTAATCATTCTTAATGAAAGAAAGTATCTCTGAGAGTTAAATGCTCATCATAAGCCTGATGTTGTGAAGGAAGTGCATCTCAAGACTATCATGCCTAATTACTGCTTCTTTTCAAGACATCATTATTAAGGCAAGCAGCTTTTAGCGCTGGTTAACTGTCACACTGCTGATTTGCAAGTGTACGCAACTCCCTTACATTTTTCTCATATTGTCTTCTGATACTTGTTTCTCTTTGTGCCTCAGTACACAGGACAGGACCCTCTTTTCGGTAGGGTTTATTGTCTCCCACCCTTGCAACTCCATTAGCTAACGTAAAAAAATGGTGAGGGACCTGTGTATCACGCCCTGAAACATACATGCAAAATGCCCCAATTTGTTCTGTTAGAGTTTTCAATCATTTAACACGCATATAAAGACCATGCTGAAAGGCGAGTTTCTAATACACAAGCCAGCTATGAAGTAGCAAACATACTGGTATTTTCCTCTTTTCCACCTATTGGCACAAATATTGAGGGAATAGGGGAGCGAAGAGAGATCCGGTACATAATAAAGGTTCTCCCAACTCAACCTCAGGGAAGAGACATTTTTCTGATCCTGTGAGCCAGATCTGTCATGGGGAAGATCAGACCTAGGCAGGCGGATCAGGCTGAGGCAGAAAAAGCCCGGCAATGAAGACCTCAAGGAAATCTTCCAGTCTGTATGTCCCAGGCTCTTCGGTATGCTCAAAGCATCATTACTCTGTAATTTTTATAAAGCAAAGCACAAGAAGCAAAGCCACGTGCCTGCCTTTTTACTGAACCCTGCATTATGTTTTCTTTCATACAAAGAAGGCTAAATCTAATGACTGTAGCCGTCTTACAACCTGCAGGCCATTTTCTGCCTGCAAGCTGTGACGAATTTATAAAGTACCCAGGAAAAAAGAGGCGGCCCAGAGCAGGATGCATGAGCTGCTGTAGCTGCCAGCCCTCCCCCAGGTGCCCCCTTTCTTGGGCAGGAGTGCCTCCACGCTTGTGACAGGAGGTGAGAAAATACTTGAATTAAAGTAGATAACAGTAATGTCATCACTGAAACTTTTCATAAAAGCGTTCCACTTCACTGATTTCAGGGCAGTCAGAATTAATTTACAGCACATCTGAATTTAAATAAAAGACTCAAACTGTGTCAACATTTAAATGATTTCTTGTTCTTCAAAATACAGGCAACCTGGTACCAGAAATTCCACATCCCTTTATCTGTCTTAGGAAAAGCTTAGAGGCCTAGAAGTCATTTTCCCACTCCAGCACCTAAAAAAATAATAAAAAAAAGAGATTTAAGAATCACAATTCTACAAAGGACATGAGAAAGGTCAGAGGAAAAGCTCTGGTTTCTCTGACTTCAACCACAAAGCTCTCCAAAAAGCATATTGAATATCATTGCACCCAAACAGAGAAACATCATACCATCATCTTTTTTGTCTATGACGGATGGCATTATATGGCAATAACAGAGCAATACAATGGCAAGCTTGTCTTTTTCTGGGTTTCATGTAAACTGAATCCCCCAAATGAAGCCCAATTTATAAAGAAAACCAAAGAGAGTTGAACTTTAAATGCTACTATATAAGCATGCCAGTTAATTAGAGTCCCTCAAGGAGTTCTCTTTTATCTGAAAGCACTTGCAAGTTCAAAATCCAAATTCAGATAACCATGTATTTTTCTCAGGGTGGTCTGTGTGCTTTGATGAGTCTCAGGCTCCTAATTATCCAGATCAGGAATCAGACCAGAGAGCAATGTTGGAGCCGGCGTGGGTCTGGCTTTATTTCCCCTGGAAACCAAAGTGCAGGGAGCAGAAGGAAAGACCTTAATAATTTGCACCAGGATGTCACCTGTGTAGATGAGGCCTTGAGAACCAGTAATTCTGTCAGGCAAATACATATCCTTCTAGCTAACATAGTGCAAAAATCTTGCTGTAAAGCATAATATTCTGAAGCTATGTTTAAATTTGGCAACTAGTCAGAATAAAAAATTATAAAATATTATCTAGCATAATTATAACTCTGCAGTTTTTCTTTTGAAGAAAAATGTAAGGACCAAGCCATGCTTATTTTATAACTACACTGCAAAAACCTTAGATGGCTCTATACTACATTGAAAGCACAACGTGAAGGTATGGTGAGGTTTAGCAGTGCCATGTAAACATGTGTTCCGTCCTGAACAATTACAGTCCTCTACGGAAGAAATTGTGAGTTAAATCACAATTAACTTACAATTAAATTTGATTTAATTAATTAAAGTTGGTATGTTCTATGTGTATTTGGTGTTTTGTGACTTGTAAACAATAACACACTGTTTATTAATGGCTTAGCAGGAAGTAGTTACCGGTGTGTGAGATGAAGTGTGCCTGGGAGAGGAGGAATTTTCCTGCAAGTCTGCAAGATAAGGTGGAGAAGAGCTGTGGGGCAAAGGAACTCTCATACCACAGTAAGTGATGCTATTAAAAAAAAAAAAAGATTAAGTCATAAATCATGAGAAAAAGAATGAACTGCATTTCTGAAAAGTTTAGAAGAGAAAGAAAAATGAATCCAACCCCTTAAAGCGAGCCAGTTAGAAATGTTTTATAGTTTTAATACTCAAGACTGGCAATGATAGTAAAAATTAAAAACAAACTAGGCACTATGGCCTTTATCATTCTCCCTGCTTACAGTCATGGGAGATATTTGTGCCTATTGTGTGTTTACCAACATCCAATTTTCTGAAGGGTGTAAATATTGATAACTAAAATGCCGATGTTAAATCATAATAGCACTGTTAAGCGAAGTATATTCATCAGGCTCACACCTCAGAAAACAAGCACTCCGTACGGATGACTGCAGCCCATTCATGGTGCTACTGGTGTGGAATTTCTCAATGTGGTGGAAAGGGACAGATTGTGGATTTTGCAGTTTTCCTGAAGACACGTTAAAGGACATATTGACGGATAGCTCTTCACAGGCTTCAGGGACTCAGATGTTTATTCTCTCCACCAAGCAAATTGGATGCAATGCACTCAAAAATTGAATTCTTTACATGGCAGGTTCAGTAATGAACAGAAAAACAACTGTTTTGTTAGGTTGTCTTAAAGTAATAACCAGCAAACTCTCAAATCTCTACATAAGTACTCAAAGGTTGAAACACTTGCGTCTAGGTATAAAACACTCAACGTCTTGGACTTGTACAGAGTAATTGCTTAGTCCTACGTAGTACTCATTTATTTCTTTCCTCGTGAACAGTAACACCTGTCAGATGTGCATTATCATAGTGCTAGGAGCAAAAAGCTTTATTGTTGCTTTCTTTTTAGGCAATAAATGAAGGGGTGCCATTCACAATTTACAAATAAGGATGTTAACTGTAGAAAACTGAAGTGTCTTGCCTAAGGTCACAGAGGAATTAGTCTGAGCTGTTGATCACTTATCTTAGTCCCATAAAAGAATTTGCATCTCAGGTAGCAACTATTTATTATTAAATATGTCATGAAGCAAAGAATAAAGACTCAGCAACGCTGTCATCATTCAATGGAAAGACATCTCGGGGGGTGAGTCATCACAAACCGGGGTTTTGCAACAACAGGGCATTTTAGCAAGAGCAAGGCCAGAGGCTAAATATTAGAGTTACAAAAACGTAAGAAATGGACGATTACTGAAAACTTACCTAGTTTCAAAAAGAAGTGGATATGGTATGAATCATATCACGGGTTTCAGATTCTTACAGCTGCCTTGGTATCAGGCTTAAGAAAAACAGTTCTGATTTATGGCTTCATGTTGAAACCATGTGAAACTCTCCCTTTTGTATTTTGATGTGAAAACCAGCCTTACGTACTTCAAATTTTTTGAGGCTTTTAAATTCCCAGACTCCAATAAAAACCCAGGACAGCTAAAACTGCAACACTTAAGACCAAAACAAAATTTTACAGAGGACCCTGTGTGTCAAAAGATGCTGAACTTAGCAAACTTCTACTGAATATACAAACTTGAGTATTTAGTCTTAAATGTTTCTACTTCTGTAGAAACCATAACTTGTACTGTTACAGTAAGTACGCCTTCTCACCCAAGCTGAGCTGTAGAACTGACCTAGCACCATTACTTATTGCTATTTTATTGGGTTTTTTTGTCATTGGCAAATTTTACTAGCAATGATTTTATATCACTTTTCAGATACTTGTTATACTTGTTATTCAAGAGATTGAATTACTCTGAATCAAGTGTATTTCTGTGGAAGACTTGTTATAAATGATGCCAACAGAGATTTCTTATTTAAGATAACAATTTGTAATCTAGCAGTTGATCATTCTTAACGTACTTACATTGAGATATATTAACATTGTATAGACTTGTTTGAAATATATTGTTTTCTACATCACTAATGAATATAAATAAATTGAATAAAATTTCAATAAATGAAATTTTAGATGGTTTGGTCATTCAGACATGTGTGTTGGCTTTGAACTTCATTATTCTAACTAATGGGCAAGTTTGCAATTTGATGGTCAGATGCACAGAAATAACTGACATTTTTATTCTCCCATAAAATTTTAATATGAACGGTAATAAACAGCTCAACTAGAAAACCTATTGTTATTTTTAATCTGATTTATGTCCTTTTTATTACTATGTTTTTAGTGCCCTCTTTAATTTTTACAGTTTATGGTATTTTTCGGTACTAGAGGTTAATTCCTTTGATAAGAAAAAATAACACACGCAATAGAATGTATATACAAAGATTAATTTTATTGCAGAAATGCTTTATCTCTTAATCTTTAGGATGAAAAAAATCCAGATATGAACTGCAATGAAGTACAGCTTATTTCCTGGACTTACAGAAATTCTTAGAATGAGAAGAAATGGGAACTCCATTGACAATGCGTACTTGGTGATGCACAGGAATACCTACACTTTTCCAAGCGCCTCCAAACTCTGAGTTTGCATAGCCGCTACCGACTTCTTTGCCAAGGCAACAGCAAGGCTGCGCAGAGCCTCTAAGCCCACCCAACACCGACCCTGAGCCCACAGGAGAGTGGAAATGGCAGTTGTATACATTTGTTTTACACCCCTTCCTTCTGCCCCATCTCTGATAACGGGCTGTTTATAAGAAACAATCAGAGAAGATAGCATATTTTTCTTCAAAAGATTCTTTTGAGGAAAAAATACGTAAAACAATTTACTCTGACTGGAGCTATGTGAGTGTCTACAGAAGGCAGACAAATTTGCCGGCTACAAGTATCTAGGTTGGATCTCCATATTTGCTGACGGCATGTTCTTTCAGTGCTCCTCTGACTATTCCTTTCAACTGCTGCCTCTGGAGCCTCATCCAGTGCTTCTTAGACTGAAATGTCTGCATAACTGAGGAGGAAGAAAGGTGACTGCAGAAAGGAAATTACAGGAGGAACACTGCAAGAGAAAAATTATACTTTAAATGCCATTTTATTAAATGTTATGTTACTTTCATGATAAGAACTTTTTGACGCCTATGAAAATCATTTTATCAGGTTCCCGAAGGAGACCGGTAGACAACACCAACATTGCAAAGCAACACATGAGAACTCTGCTAAAGTCAGAACTAAATACTACTCCGCAGAGCTCCCATCAGCATAAATGTGATGACAAGAGCCAGAGTCCTTTCAAATTATATTCAGAAAAATAAGGAAAGCTCTTCAAAGGGTTTAATACCAAATTTGGTTGTTTGGTACAGGTAATTACACACTAGTTTACATCTATCAAACACCTAACTATTCATTTTGATTTATTCTCAGAATTCTGATTTGAGTCAAGAAGTTCTGGTCTTACAGTATGTGCTTTTATCTTCCACCTCTTTCAGCGTGTAAATGCATGCAACACTTTTGTAAGCCGGCCTCATAACTCTAAATAGCACTGCGGGATTTTTGTGGGTTTTATTTGTTTATTCGTTTGTTTTTTTCTTGGCTGTTCTCTTCAGGAAGAAAATAAATTTTGTTAAACCAGTTAATTTAAAAATGGGCTGGGAAGCTGCTGAATTGACAGTAATAGTGTACTGTTACCTTTGCTTATTTGAATAACAAACTATTTTGCTTTCTTGGTAATGAACAAATGGTCATAGAGTATTTTAAGTCAATGTCACAGCTCAGAGAAAACTATAGAGCTTGCTGAGTACAAGTTGACTGAAAGCCTCAGTCTGTTATCTTTGTGTGCTCAGGCTACTAGTGATTTTTCAGTGAGTTTTTGATAGGTCAAGTACAGTTCAAAGGCAGAATGTTTTTTTTTTTTCACCACGTTATCCTACAGTATGTTATTTTTGAGCGGATTTGAAGCTAAAAGCACGTACGTGGAAATATAAAGAGCAGTCACATCTGGATTATATTGATCACAGTAAATAAAAAATTGTTTCTCAATATACCAGAAAAAATATCTAAAAGTATTCAGAAAAGACTTCAAATTATTCATTGTAGCATTTTTAGCTACAGTCAGAGAGCTCGGCTGAGAGCTTGGCCTTGGTGAGCTGTATTCAGCCTAAGGTTGAATAGGTATTAAGAAGACTCAAGGTGGCTTTATACCAATTGTGTCTTTTATGAATTCAAGGCATTAGAAAGGGCAATTTGGCTTCCTTACAACAAGTGTTGTGTAAAAGCAGGTTCAGAGCTGCCTAAGTCACACCTGTGGGATCTAAGAAGCTGTACAAGCCAGAGAGCAGTAGTGACACTTGACTGCTTCCTTCGTATCACGTCGGGATTTCCAAAAGACTCTTATAGGTCATCGGTTTCCAAATCAGCAAAGACAACAGCAAAGAGGGGGAGGCAGTTTTTCTACCCATCAATTTCAACAAAGTCTAATCTTATTACATAAAAACGTATTTGCTTTAAGTAACAACTCGATATAACATTATTTATGACCCAGGCAAGTATGAATTGGAAACTAACGCATTTACTATTTCTCTCTGCTGCTTTTTATTAATATAAAAGTAAATAAACTAACCTTAAAGAGTCATAGAAGGAAACTTCTGTCTAAGTAACTTGCATGGGTTGGTCAGAAGAAAGCTCTACAATAATAAAAGTGAGATAATGTAAAAAACATCTACCAGCTTCTTCAAAGAAATTACTTGTTTCATTGCTATCTCACTTTTTCAAAACAGCATCAAAATTTTTTTCTCTCTAACCAGGGTATAATGCAAGGTATCGTTCATGAGAATGCCACAGAAAAGATCATCGTATTTTACAACATGGGCAGCTTACCAAGAATCCTGGTATGCACACTGAATCAGGCAAGCTCTTTACTTTTTTTTTTTTTTATGTTTCTGGTGGGTTTATCAAGCAAATCAGGAAAAAGCCTTATAAATCCTTTTTCTTTAATGCTTTATTTGTGCAGATTCAGTACAATGGAAATCTTATATTCTTTAATATTTAAAAACTTATTATAATGCCTTTCTTATAATGGACACCAAGATCACTGCACAATAAAGGAATTTAGAGTATTCTCTTTTTGCCCGTGATACACTGCCTGTGGGAGGACCAGGAGGAGGTAATCTGTGTTCAGTCACTGCTTTAGCCTAAAAATAATTGAAATTGAAATTAGAAAATACTTCTTCATCCTCTGTAACAATATGAAGGAGTAGGAAAAGCAGGACATGGTTTTGCAAATCCTCATCTATTTAGGAGAGCAGGACTCACAAATAAATCAGCGTATCATATAAAATATATCCCTACAAAAAAGGGATAGCAAGAGAGCAAGAGTGACAAAGCAAAATCAAATTGAGCATAACAGGGATGGAAGAAGCAGCTTACTGGAACTAAGAAGTAGCCCATGTAGGATAAAAGTAGTATATCAGTATTAACATTTTGTCTCACCTCATTTTGCCAGCTTTCAATGTATTCGTATTTACTCACACTCATTTTACAACACCATATCTGAATTTCACTTTATTTTTCCGTTCACTCAGTGCTTGTACTCCCTTTTCGTACAGCCTTTCCGAAATGGAATACAAACCCAAAATAAATAGTTGAATGACTATTGAATTATTTCTAACCAAATAACTTCTTATTCAAACTCAGGTTTGTGACTAAATTATTTCCTCTCCCTCACTCACTGTAAGTTAGGAGAAAATTGGCTGCTTGAGCTCCACTTACAGCTCCACTTTCTGCTTAAGAAAGATCTGTTCAATTTATACACTTGCTAAGACAGTGTGATAGTGGCTTAGTCTCTGAAATGTCTCCTGGTTCAATTAATATTTTCCAGAAGAATGGTATTATCACCAGTGAATAGGGATTTCCAGTGTTGATTTGAAAAGGTACATGCCAGGCACTTAGATACTCAAACTGAGCAAGTTACCAGTGCTCAGCGAGGCCCACGGATTCATAACATTTGCGATTAATGTTGAGATGAATCTAGGATCAGAAGAGTGCCTCCTCCTGCCAAAGTGGCTTCCTGCAAGAGAACCTCAAATTTTTTCATCCAAACCAGTTTAAAATGACTCCAAAATGACTCCTGTTCCCTAGTGACCTTTTATGTAATTTAAGAGGATGCAACATGAAGAGTTTATTTTTCCCTAAGAATCAGCATAAATTTCCCTCTGCTTGCTTCCATCCTATTACTTATCCTTAGACTACTTCAGATCATCCTAAACGTTTCCATGGTTACTAGCAGCAACATACCTACTGATAACAACACCCCCAGTGAAGCTTCTCATTGGTATTCGCTCCTTTTCAGCATCTTCAACGTGGACATTCAGCATCCATCACAGTGGACAATGTGTGTGTTTGAACTATCGCAGTAAGAAGTCAGACACCAATAAGGTAAACATGTTGCAAGAACCAGAAAGATTTTAATTTAAAAAAAATAATCACTTGAAGAAGAACATTATATTTGTGCCCGGGGAAAAAAAAAATTTACTAGACCAGACGTGTATCCTTCCAAGTTTTTATGGAGACAATAAACCAAGAACTGGGTAATATGTTCTGATCATCTGTTTTAGGCAGACTCAAAGTACTTGTCTGGTAAAATTTTTGCTTTATATAACAGTTTGCTTTTTTTGTTTTGATTAATGACTATGCTAGTTTCTAGGTAGCAACTGTTCCTACAGCTACATTGGAGAAAGCACATTTTTTGGAACTGCTGTTACCTGCTGGTGAGAAAATGACTGTCCTGCCAGTGCATTTTACAGAATGCAATTAAATCTTGTCCTAAAATAGAAAATGCCTAGTGGAGCTTTTAAATAGGTAAGAATTTTTGAGCATCCTGTTCTTGTTTTTCTAATTCAATTGCATTACATACCATGTGAATCTCCAGACAAGATAAATTGCTTTTGTTTGAAATTAATTTACTATATAAACACACATTCTTTCTAAATATCTTTGAGGCACTCGTACTTCCTCATAACTCTTCTTGGTAGCTCAGATAGTTTTTACAGCTTGTTTTTTCCGTCAGGCTCAGTGCAGTAGAAGTACATCGTGCGCACGTCTTTTAGTGTGATCTTTTTCATTTACAGAGTTTGGTCACGGAACAAGGATGCACGAAAATACAGTTTCATTTCACAGGCATATAAACCAAAATGGTAGTCTTCAGATAAGGAGACTGAATAGACTTTGACTGTTGCAGAAGCTTGAATACTGTTGTGCTTTTTTCTGTCTAAACCAAAAGCAGAAAACTGGCAGAGCTAATTTTGATCCAGAAGATGAGCTGCTTTGAAATGCGAGGGACAAACATAACACGCAACCCACTGCTTCCACTTCTTCAGCAGGCTCATGTAGCATAGCAAGTAAGAGGCAGAGCAACATCTGCAACCAAGTACAAGCTGCTGATCCAACCTGTGCTTCAAAGAAATTGGATTAGGACAGAGGAACATTAGGCAAAATGCTGGAGTTTCCATACTTTTTTAAGAAATGTCTTCAAATCTTTAGCTTTTCTTTGGAAAACAGGAAGGACTAGGAAAACAGAACAGCTAATTTCCAGGTCACTGTGCTTTGAATGTAAAAACTGGGAACTGAGTTTGTTTGAAATCTATAGCAGGAAAGATGGTGTTTTTATTTCCAATTGCCAAAAGTTAAAGCTGCATGTGCAAAAATCTCTTAAAACACTGCATGGGATGAAAAATGTTAAAACGATAACCAGATTTTGAGAGACCGTCTGCCAGAGATTCATATTCGATTGTATGAACTGGACATACGGATTTAGTTAAATTATGTGAAAAGAGTTTGGCACACAGAAGTTGTACTTCTGTAAAAAGCCAAGGAATATAATGCAGAGGAGCCAGGAGAAAAAAGTCTTTCAAACTAAGGTAGAAAGTGAAAGGAAAGAAGATCAGAGAGTTGTGGGATCTTGTGTCCTGTAATAAAGGGAAAATAAATTTCTCAGAGCATTCATGAATAAATCTAGAGCTTAGTGCCATATTCCAAAAATAAATCAGAACAATCTGTGACAGGAAAGGTTAGCAGCCAGTCTGCTACTATAAACTTATTTGGTTTTGTTTCTAAATCCTATTATTGTGGGTTTTAGTTGTTGGTGTTGTTGTTTCTTGGTTTTGTCTTTTTTTTTTTTTTTTTAGAAGAAACTTTTTACTGCATCGGGCCAGAGACAACTCTATTAGCACAAAGGATGTTCCAGAAATGAGTAAAGCCCTCTACAGCAAACACCAGCGGCTTTTCCAGGGCATGTAGGGTGGAGAGGACCCTACATTTATTTTGGGTTTGTATTCCATTTTGGAGAGGCTGTACAAAAAGGGAGTACAAGAACGGGCCTTCCCGCCAGAGACCCAGCCAACACTTCAATAGCTTCCCCATTCCGTATCAGCCATGTGGTAGGTGCGGAGTCTGGTTTTCACTTTTAACCTCTTGCTTGCTGAGCTTTCAGTTTGACTTTTATGCTTTGTGCCAACATTTTCCTCTCTTTCCCAGCTGCTGGCTGCTGTTGCACATTTGTGGATGTCTCCTTATGCTTGCTCTTTCCCAAGCTGTCTGGCTCTGGAGGGAGGTGAGAGGTCTCCTCCATTACTTTTCTCACGCAGATTTTACTAGAGAGTGATTAGTTGCTGAATCAGTTGATTATTGTTTGGAATGGTGCAGGCCAGAAAACACCTTGGAGATTTAAACTTGCTTAGGAGTTTCTACACTCATTATCTTTCTAATTCTTTGTAAAAGACCCTAAATTGCTTGTTTTCAAGCCACATAACCTTCAGATGCTACTAGATGAGGTAATTTATAGAATGAATGACTTGCTGTCATGTGCTTGGTCTGATCAGAATGATAAAATTTTTGCTGATGCTCTTCTTATTTCAATAAACACTCAACCAAATTCTCCTTGCACTGTACTTCCTTACCAATGGCATTGAAAAATGTAAAGGGCAATATAAATGGAATGTTATATGGTCACAAGCTTATTGTGCAACCAAAAGCCACTTCAATCATAACCAAAATCCCATGGATCAAAACCTGAACATTCCTAAGTAGATCTTTTTGTACTAGCTGCTAAATTACTCCTATGATTCTCCAGTCACATGGTCTGTGTCAATGGCACAGGAACTGCAGCTTCTCAATAATTTCATGCTTGCCTTTCTTCCTGGAATCATTGTCAAACAACAAGTTAAAAATGGTAAAAATATCAGGATCCTAAAAATGGCACTGTAAGACAAATCTGAGAAAAACTGGAGGTTTTAGGCTCTCAGTCTGATTACTACAGCCTAACGGAGGACCAAAACCAACCTTGTGTTTCATACGAAGTCTTAAAGTTTGTCTGTATATTATTTCTTCATGCAGCTGTGAGCTCAGGACTTACAAAAAAAGACTGAGACATGAAAAAGGCAATCAAGCAAACAGGACTGGCAGTGCCCAGTGTAAGTCTGAGGAGCTGTGACGCACCACGGGAAAACTACAGAGCAAGTTTGGGTGATGACTTTGACCAACTCTATCTTTGACCTTTACTCAGTCTTTGTAATTATTGTGATTTTCTTTCATTTTGTTGTGGTTTTTCGAAATGTATCTGCACTTTACAAATGCTCTGTTTGCTTCAGTAGAAAGAATCCAAACAAACAAGCAAAAAACCAAGCCAAAAGCACAACCCCAAAGCTTGAAACTACAATTAGAAGTAGGAATGGCCAAATTCTGCATGCTCAGACATCTGTCTTACTCCCAGCCATGTGTTCAGAAGGGAGAAAGCAAACAAAGCTGGCCGTGTTTCTATAGGGCTTCATCTGATCCTGCCAACCCAACCAATGCCTGTTAGTGTCTACACATATATACCCAGGCAATCATGCACCAGCCTCTACAGATGGACGGGTCTGCCAATAAGCCCATGTTGCCGGGGAGCTGATGAAAGTGCTGTGCAAACTGGGTCTGGACACCCAGACATCCTTCCCCCAGGAAAGGTTCTAGTTCATGCTGAAGTGAAAGACAAACTACTACTAAACAGAGGATCTAAGGCCATAAAACTTCAACTTTCAAACAAGCATCATAATATTTCTGTATTGTCTATAAAAAAGATATAAGATTTATAGTACTTTCCTCAGAAGTAAAACACAGATGGGGACAGAAAAGCCATTTTTTGTCCCTGTAGTGGAACACTGCTTTATGATCTGAAACCAGCAACTGCCAAAGAGGTTATCATTCACATGTACAAATTAACTATACTGCAAGATTGAAAAATTAATTAAACCATTGTTTATTCAATTACATGCTGTGTCCCTGCTCTATCTAGATAAACAAGCTGAATAAACTTCTGAAAGCTCTCAGCCTGAAGAGCCTGAATCCTATTATCAGTTGTTAAATTAAACATTTAGAAGGCTACATTCTGTGAAAGGATATTTCCAAGGACCTGTGGTACTTCTAAAACAACACATTTAAGACATTTTGGCATTTTAAACAAGCTGACCTTGAAATTTTTAAGAGACTAAATATGCCTGTAAATGAATTCACTTCTACTTAATGTTTTTCCAGCACTTTTTATGCAGTAAAATATTTTGTTTACATAAACCGAAGGGAATCATCCAATAAATAAGAGATAGTGTGTCTGATAATATAAGAGTTTCTTACCTGAAATCACAGGCAATGTAAAACAGTGTGAAATTCCTCTCTACCTCACCACTGTGACTAGGTGTAATTTCAGAGCAGGCTACAGAAACTTACGCTTCTGGGCTGCCACCACAGTCACCTTAATTGTGCAGAGACTACTTCTGTGTTAGTACTTCCATGACACTGACAAGGGCATAATTAATTTTACTTGTAAGGAGATACTACAACACGTCAATGCTGAAAGTAAGAGGCCGCCTCAGGCCCAGGACCAACAGCATCTACAATTAGAAAAAGTTACGACAGGCAGAGCAGATGTACTTGAGCACAGAAACCACCTGGTAAGTGTCACTTTACAGTCCAGCATGTGCAGAAATGCTTTCAGAAGTGATGAAGTTTACAGCACCACTGGAATCATATACTTTTAGTACATGAGAAACTGGCAGCAATAGCAGCTGCAGGACAAAACTTCTTCCATTGGCCAACTACACCCTTTTGGAGGGGGGAAAAAAAAGCTCGTGTATTCAGAGATTGAAACCAGAATATGGTATGCATGTGTCATAGGGACATCCACTGGTTTAGCAGCTTCAATCATCAGCACTGAAGCAAGTGCTTCATATTTATATTTGGCTCTTGGACAGAGATTTTATTAAAAAGATTAGCCAAAAAGAAATAGTGAGAAAAAAATGTATCCCACATTAATTTCCATCTTCCTTTAAGTGACATGGAGCATAAAGCATAGGGAACAGTTCTCACCTTAAAATGACAAAAAAAGGCAAGGAAAAAAATATTTTCCCTGCTGATTATCAAAGCAAAGGTGGAAGAACTTCAAAAGTAGACAGACCACTTACTCCTTCTGAGTAAGCAAAGAGAGTCGGTATGGGAAGTATTATGCTCATCCCATTGCACTCTTGTATATTTTCTTTAACTGTAAACAAACTCTCAGATTTATTTTACACACCGCTCAAAAAAGAACAGCAATTTTCCCCTGACTGGATAAAGGCCTCAGAATCAGAAATCTGAATCCTATGTGAGCCTGTTCCCAGTTTTCCTTCATTATTTATTATTTATGTGGTTTTGCCATGAGGAGTAACATGGCATGGCTCTGTCCCAGAAACAGGCTGGAGACTGACTTGGGAGGATTCAAGAAGCTTGCTTATGCAAAACAACATTTTTTTCCAGTGTAATGCACCCGTTGATTTACTACTGGATGCAATCACCTTTGCTCAGCAATGAGAGTGGCAAGGCATCATACAGCTGCTAAAGTAGTCTGAAAATTTGTGTGCTACAAGTAAGAGTTGGCTTTTGCAACAGCAATGACAATACAAAGGCAAGTCAGGGTCTCCAGCCCAGAGTGAGTCACAGCATTTCTCTCCTGTGTCTTGTAACAAGAGGACAGATCCTGCTCATAGCAGAGGTCAACTTGTTTAGTGGGGACTGTTTAAAACAGCAGCTTCAGGCTGAGCCTGTGCCAGGGGACCTCCACGGCTGGGTGAGCAGGGAGGTCCCCAGAGCCATCATTGTTCCCTGGTCCTGTTGCTAGCAGTGGCCAAACTCTTGCCTTGCACCATTAGGCCCAGGGCCCAAGGTGTATTCAGCATAGCATGTTTGCCATCAGTAGAGCTATTCTCAATTTTTGTAAGTGAGTAGGTCTCTAGCAAAGTCATCGTCATCTTCTACTTGTTTCACACCCGTGTACAATGCTGGTGTGCTTTGTGATACGTGATTCAAAGGCTTTCTGGTGAATGTGGGAGAGAGGATGGATTTGACACTGGAGTGTCAGGAGGGGAAGGATCATGGGTTAAGCTCAGATGGGCAGAGATATTTATTCTGATGCTTGAAACTGAGCTCTGTTCAGATTACAGTTCAGGTTTCACAGCATCAAAATCCTTTAGTCATTCTTGAATGAAAATAGAACGGGCAGAAATCTAACTTGGGTGGTTAACTCTTAAAATTTCAATGTTATTAAAGTTTTGAGAAGAAAACAAGTACAACCCAAATGAAAAAGCTCTGACTGTAACTGAAACCAGGAATTCAAATGTGCCACAGCTCTGCAGACTAAGCGACCAGAGCTGAGCCCCAGTGAACCCCCTGAGGCAGCAGTGGTGATCTGCACTTGCACTTGTTGGAGGCACTGTAAATCTAGTCTGCCCGGGTGAGTATTGTATGGAGCTCAATAGATCAGATTAGCCCTTACTGTCTTCAGAGTGGATTTATTAGGGGACTAATGGGGTTTTAGCCCTTCCATCTCACCCAGTGACACTTGCCCATGCAGTGTATATGGGATTTCTGGATAAATGACATGCCAGTCAGAGAGGTAACTGTTGTGCAGTGGATCTGCAAAAAGTTTGGTTTTCCTCTGTCTCTGTAGGCAAACTACAGAGATCAACCAACAGCACATGTAAAAGGTGTCTTTACTGGTTGCTGCCCATGAATCCAGATTTCAGTCTCCTTGGGAGTTGTGCGGCACCTTTCCTGAGAAGCCAAATCTCTTCAGACATGCTCTTTAATTTTCCCATTCAGTACAGAGGGAAATAAAAGGCAAAATAGGCATGGATTTCTATCTAAGCAGGTTTGCAGCCTCAGGTCTGTAATGTCTGAAATTTCTAAAGCTCACATGAAGAAAGACACAGACACATACGCTAGAGAAAGTCAAAGAGCCACTAACTCTAAACCAAGATCTGTTTCGGAAGGGGGCAGATGCAGTAAGAGCAATTTTGCAGGCCATCTGCCCCAAAACACAGAGAGCCAGTGTTTCCCTGCTCTCCGCTCTACTACACGATCACCCTAGCAACATCAGCACTCTAGACAGATGCACTAAAATTGCTTAAGAGAATGAATTTTTTTTTGGTGTTTTAGGTAGTTTAGAATCTTAACTACGGAATTCATTTCAGCTCTGCAAGCTGAGATGAAAGGTGCAAAAAGCTTTAATCCAAATATAAAAGTCCCAAAGGAAATTTCTCTGTCAGCAGCAAAGTGCTTGCTGGCAGAGGCGGTTCACAAACCCTGCAGGACTGTAGCTCCCACAGCCCTGGCAGGGGAGGCAGCCAGGACGGAGCTGCCCATGCAGGGGTGCCACGGCCATCCTCCGATGGCCCTGGAGCCTTTTGGGCCAGCTTTACCCTGAACGGTTTGAAGGCTGCCACTCTTCTACTCTTCTTTCCATGCTCCATTACTTTTTGAAGGAATTCAGAGCTGCTGCACCTCACCCCTGCTTTCTACGCTATGTGTGGAGCAATGCCGATCAAGTGATGGTGTCTTCTTTTCCAAAGGAGTGACCTTTAGGACTCTTTCTGGGTCTTTAATAACCTTTACCACTACCAGAACAGCATAACGGAGGCTTTATGGTGCGGGCTACTGACCTAGTTTTGATATTTATTTCTAAAGAATGACCTTTTCTTTTGCTTGAAGTTTTACGCTGCTTATTCCAACTATTCTCTAAGTATTACACTAGAGCTGGAAATAAAAATGGAGGGTGATAAAATAAATGAAGATCTGGCATCCTTAATTTTAACAAGGCAAAAAGAGCTCATTTGTTAGTCCTCTCTCTTCCAAAAGAAGAAAATCTCTCCTTTTTTTTCCCAACTCTGATTGCTTTAAAAGACAGGACAGAAGGAAGACAGCTGGCAATGGATATAGCCATCTACCTACTCTCCTCAATCTACTGCTGTGGGCATTCATTTAAATGTCAGGCTTGGTCCTATCTCTGCAATAGATACAAAATAGCTTTTGTTGAATCTATCCGTAGATCTTACACTGTCTATTTATGAACGTGTTTTTTTCATAACCACTGTTTAAATAAACCGCAGAACTCTCCAAATGTGCATACTCAGTTTTTTGAAGTCGGAAATATCATCTCTCTTCGTGAATAATTTTACCTGACCGTATTTGAGGTCAGTCCAGTCCTCCTCTTTATAACTCCACTATACTCTTGGAAAGCTTATAGGAACTCTTCAACTCTTTTAAATTTTCCCTTGTGATTTAACTTTCCTATAACCTGTTATTTTCTTGAGTTTGCTTTTTTATTTTCACAAAGGATTCAGAAATAAACCCTTGCCGAAAGCCCCTACGTGAAAATTATTGAAAAGGCAACCAAAGTTGACCCCAATTACATTTACTTCCGTGGTTTGTATGGTACAAAGAAGCCATACTTGGGAATTAATTGTTCTCTATTCGATAGCAATTGCAGCTCATCCAGAGACTACACCTATCCAATAGCCTAACCTGCAAAAATAATGATTAAACATCAAAATACTTACCAAAACAGTGTATTTAAGCAACTTGTGCATTGCTTACAGAACAACATGAGAGAAGTGACAAAATAATTCATTGCTGTCTTATCTCTGTTTCTTTTAACTTTTCTTGAGGTATATCTTTGACCTGTGGAATGGGCTATTGTAAGGTGTGTACTTCACATAAGGCCTTAAAATTGGAAGCTTGTTATGAGCAGGCATTTTGGTGATGAATGCTAATGCCAATCAGGGCTTTCAGCATCAGTCACTTTTCAGCACCTGATTACCCAGCGAGCAGCTTTCCGTATTACAGCACTTACTGTCTCTCCTGCAGTGACAGTGACTCAAAATGGCTCCAGTGATTCAGACATTTCTTTTGAGATATTCTCTCTGGGTCTGATTGCAGCACAGGGACATAAAGCTACAAAATAATCCCTCTACTTAATTTAAGCTGCCAACACTCTGACTCAAGTCAAAAGGGAGGTTGTCTTAGAAAGTTATATGTGCACTGGCTGCCTATGAACTATGGCTACATTACCCTGTCTTTCCTGCTCAATTCAACCGTACTAGTCTGGTATAAAACAGGGCAGAAGGAGGCAATGATCCATCAGAGCATTTAAGTACTTCTTCAGTTTGCAGTCCCTGCACTGTTCCACTGAAGTTAATGTTACCCTTCTCCATATTGGGACTTAAGGGTATGCAGTTTGTCGGTTTGCCCTTATCTTGAGTTTAAAGAGTTTTGACACCTCCTTCAACGTTCATGTAAATTGACAGAGAATTTTAACGTATAGTCATAAAATCCAGCCTGCTCGAGATGGTATTTCTGAATATAAAGATAACACAAAGAATATACAGGGACCTTGATTTGGACAGAACGGCTGCATCCTCTCTTAAGGAAATACGTGAGATCAGTCTCAGACATTTTTTCTCCTC